ATGGAATGGAAATAATGAGAAGGAATGAGAGAGGAAAGGAACGGAAATGAATCAGGAATGGAAATGAAAGAATGGATAAAGATGGATATAAATGGATAAGGAAAGGAAAGGAAAATAAATAATGAAAGGAAATGAAAATATAAAGGAATGGAAATATGGTAGGAAGGAATGAAATGAATGGAAAGGAAACAGGAAAAGGAAAGGATTAGGAAAATAGTGAAAGAAAGGATAAATGGAATGGAATGAAATAAATAGAAATGGAAGATGGAATGAAAGGAAGAAATGGAAAGGAAAGGAAGGAATGGATAACGGAAGAAATGGAATGGAATGAAAGGAAAGAGGAAGGAAACAATGGAGGGCACCGGTGCAACAGGCAACCTGAAAGGCTCTGCGCACAGGCAAACTGCCTAGGGGCGCCTGGCGCACAGGCAACCTTGCCCAAGGTTTGTGTCCAGTCAACCTGTCCCAGGGTGGCTTGTAAGCAAGACTGTTTTAGGGCTCTGCAGAACATGCTTAGGGTGGGTTTTATAGGTCCAGGGCACATCTGTTTTAGGGGTTTGTCTCTCAGGCAACCTGAATGAGGGTTTTGAAAAAAGGCAACTCTGTTTTAGGGGTGTTTGTGTTCAGTAACTCTGTTTTAGGGGTGTTTGTGTAAGGCACATTTGTTTAGGGTGCTTAAAACTAGGCGACCCAGGGTTGTTTTGTGTTTTAGGGCTGTTTGTGTGCAAGCAGTTGTTTTAGGGGTGTTCTGGACGTAACTGAGACAAGGTTTTTTACAATCCCTTGTTACAGGCCTAGTAACGCTCCACAACATAGTCTTAGGCGGCCCCAGGACGACGAGGTCTAGGAAACCAGCTGAACCTCCACACTGATCTGGCCAAGGTAGACGAGCCAGACAACGAGTCCAACGAACCAACCCACAACACATAACGGAGCCCCAGCCAACGGAAGAAGAAAGAGGTGGCCGGACAACGGACGAGCCGAACAGGACCCGAAAGAGGAACGAGACGAAGAAGACCAGGCACAAAGGAAAATAACCGAGCCGAACCGAACCCAGACATAACCCCAGGACAGCCACAACCAGGCACATAACGGAGGAAGGAAATGGAGACACATAACGGAGCTTAGGAAGACGAGCCGGAAACGATAACTGAGCCGAAGAAAAAGAAATGGACAGAATGGATTAAATGAATAACTTGAAAAATGAAAAGGAAACCAAAGAAAGGAATGAGAGCCCAGGGTAAGACGGAAATAACGGAAATAGGAAACACGAAATGAAACAGTTGAATAACGAATGGAAAATATGGATGAGCGGAATAACGGAGCGGAAAATGAAACAACGGAAGACGAAAGGAAAACAGGAAATAACGGAGCCCGAAAATGGGAAATGGAGGTGAAGAAATGGATCCAGAAGACACACATAACGAGCCAACGGATAACCCAGGACCGAACACAGTGAACCAGACAGCACACTGCAAAATAACGGAAATGGAAGGAATGAACAGGAAATGAGCCAGGACGGAGCCAACGGAAAATAACTGAAATGAAAATAACTTGAAAGAACTGAAATATAAGGAAGGAAATGAATGAAATATAACGGAAAAGGAAATATGAAAAGAAATAACGGAAAATGGAAAGAATGAAAGAGGGAAGGTAACTGAGGAAATGGGAAAATGAACGGAAAGGAAGATGAAGGGTAAATGGAATAACGAGAAAATGAAAATAGGAATGGACAAGGAAAGATGGATTAGGAATATAAATGAAAGAAAATAACGAAATGAAGTTTGTTTAGAGGGTGTTTGTGTAAAAGGTAAATTTGCTTAGGGGTGTTTGTGCAAAGGTAAATATGTTTAGGGGTGTTTGTGTAAAAGGTAAATTTGTTTAGGGTGTTTGCGTTCAGGTAAATTTGTTTGAGGGTGTTTGTGTTCAGTTAAATTTGCTTAGGTGTGTTTGTGTTGAGGTAAATTTGTTCAGGGGTGTTTGTGTTCAGGTAAATTTGTGTAAGGGTGTTTCTGTACAGGTAAATTTGTTTAGGGGTGTTTGTGTGCAGGTAAATTTGTGTGTGGGTGTTTGTGTTTTAGGGTTGTTTGTGTGCAAGAAAAGGTGTTTAGGGATGTTTGTGTAAGGTACATTTGTTTAGGGGTGTTTGTGTAAGGTAAATTTGCTTAGGGTTGTTTGTGTTTTAGGGTTGTTTGTGTGCAAGTAAAGTTGTTTAGGGGTGTTTGTGTACAGGTAAATTTGATTAGGGGTGTTTGTGTAAGGTAACTTTGTTTAGGGGTGTTTCTGTACAGGTAAATTTGTTTAGGGGTGTTTGTGTGCAGGTAAATTTGTTTATGGGTGTTTGTGTTTTAGGGTTGTTTGTGTGCAAGTTAATTAGTTTAGGGGTGCTTGTGTACAGGTAAATTTGTTTAGGGGTGTTTGTGTAAGGTAAATTTGTTTAGTGGTGTTTGTGTAAGGTAAATTTGCTTAGGGATGTTTGTGTCAGGCAAATATGTTCAGGGGTGTTTGTTTTCAGGTAAATAGGTCTTCGGTGTTTGTGTAAGGTAGATTTGATTAGGGGTGTTTGTGTTCAGTTAAATTTGTTTAGGGGTGTTTGTGTAAGGTACATTTGTTTAGGGGTGCTTGTGTTCAGGTAAATTTGTTTTGAGGTGTTTGTGTAAGGTAAATTGTTTAGGGGTGTTTGTGTACAGGTAAATTTGTTTAGGGGTGTTTGTGTACAGGTAAATTTGTTTAGGGGTGTTTGTGTAAGGTAAATTTGCTTAGGGGTGTTTGTGTAAGGTAAATATGTTTAGGGGTGTTTGTGTAAGGTAAATTTGTTGAGGGTGTTTGTGTTCAGGTAAATTTGTTTGAGGGTGTTTGTGTAAGGTAACTATGTTTAGGGGTGTTTGTGTTCAGTTAAATTTGCTTAGGTGTGTTTGTGTTCAGGTACATTTGTTTAGGGGTGTTTGTGTACAGGTAAATTTGTTTAGGGGTGTTTGTGTTCAGGTAAATTTGTTTTGGGGTGTTTGTGTAAGGTAAATTGTTTAGGGGTGTTTGTGTACAGGTAAATTTGTTTAGGGGTGTTTGTGTACAGGTAAATTTGTTTAGGGGTGTTTGTGTACAGGTAAATTTGTTTAGGGGTGTTTGTGTAAGGTAACTATGTTTAGGGGTGTTTGTGTTCAGGTAAATTTGTTCAGGGGTGTTTGTGTTCAGGTAAATTGGGGGGTTTGTGTACAGGTAAATTAGCTTAGGGGTGTTTGTGTACAGGTAAATTTGTTTAGGGGTGTTTGTGTACAGAAAAATTTGATTAGGGGTGTTTGTGTACAGGAAAATTTGTGTAAGGGTGTTTCTGGACAGGTAAATTTGTTGAGGGGTGTTTGTGTAAGGTAAGTTTGTTTAGGGGTGTTTGTGTACAGGTAAATTTGTTTAGGGGTGTTTGTGTACAGGTAAATTTGTTTAGGGGTGTTTGTGTACAGGTAAATTTGTTTCGAGGTGTTTGTGTAAGGTAACTATGTTTAGGGGTGTTTGTGTTCAGGTAAATTTGTTCAGGGGTGTTTGTGTTCAGGTAAATTGGAGGGGGTGTTTGTGTACAGGTAAATTAGCTTAGGGGTGTTTGTGTACAGGAAAATTTGTGTAAGGGTGTTTCTGGACAGGTAAATTTGTTTAGGGGTGTTTGTGTACAGGAAAATTTGTGTAAGGGTGTTTCTGGACAGGTAAATTTGATTAGGGGTGTTTGTGTACAGGAAAATTTGTGTAAGGGTGTTTCTGGACAGGTAAATTTGTTGAGGGGTGTTTGTGTACAGGAAAATTTGATTAGGGGTGTTGGTGTGGAGGGAATTCTGAAAATATAACAAATTAATGCCTTCTTTAACAATTCATAGTGCCTCTAAAATCATAGATTATTCCAATTGCTCCTGTTGCAGCATCTTGAGAGATTAAGGCCATCCAAGTGACTTGGCAGCACTTACTGTAAGTGAGCAGCCAAATGACCCCTGGTCGATACTGACACCCCATTGTGGTTGACTAACAATCAAGTTCAAAGTTCATCAAGCTATTGAGAGACACTAAGATCAAATTGTCCGAGATCAAAGTCAAGGTGTAACAATAAGCCCTGATCACTGTCACAGTACAGTCCATCAGATGTATTTCACTTTTACCACAATATTTCAAGTGAGTGGATGTCACTCAAGTCAGCCCTGTGTCTTCCATGTGACTGCTCCTGTAACCTGGAGCTCTCTCTTGGTTGGGAGTCAGGACAATTACAATACCATCTTACCATTCTGGCTAACACCACTCTCTAGATAGGGGTGAGCAATAGTATATTATCATCTTAACATTCTGTGCCCGTATGCACAGACCGGGCATAGCTAACGTCAGGCATAACACACTACGTCGGGCTTAGCAGCGCGCCCTGCTCTTACACGTCATGCACAACGTCGGTTAAGCCAAGGCATTACTATGCCCGACTTACATCCAGGCGCAGTGTGCTATTTTTAGATTTTCGAACGTTTTTAAACCACCAGAAAAAGGTGCGAAACAATTTCGCGGCACATCCTACTACACCAGGAAATCCTGCTATGTGTGTCTTTCAGTGCTACGAGTTCGTTTTGGTTGGGAAATATTATCAATATCACCTCTGATTGTATTCACTATCTTGAAAATGTCAGTTGTCCTGAATCTAAATCTTCTGTACAGATCAAGGTCGTTGTATATTTCTTAAGGGTTTGACCCGTCTCTAAATATACTGTTTCTGTAGAACTGCCGTCTGCAATATCAGTATACAACTGCCGCCATTACAGGCTACGCCTGGCTTATGCCTGCTGGGTAGGTGGCGTAAAGATGGAGCGCTACGCCTGGTGTAACTTAAGCAACATCTAAGATATGCATACTGGTTTATCGTTACGCCCGGGTGCACATTTTACTTACGCCCGGACTAGAATCTACGCCCGACATATGCATACGGCCACTCGTGACCACCACTCTCTAGATAGGAAGTTCAGAAATGTGTATTGCTGTCTTACCCTTCTGGATATCGCCCCTCTCAAGGTAAGGCGTCAAGAAAAGGGGTTCTCCAGGATCAACACCATTTCGGAGCATTTCTGGGTATTTTTCAGGAAACATCTTCCTGAAGGCACCATGTCCATGCGTAGTCTGATGGAAGCACACAGTCAGGACAAACAGGCTTGTTAACATCCTAGAATGTAGAAGCAGCACGTAGTTACTCAAAAACCCAACACACTTTAACCAGTCAAAACCAATTGTGTATATATGCATGTCATGAAGAACACAAGTTCCTCTGACGCATTTCATTGCCCTCTCAAACTGTGAAGTAATCACAGGTAAGAGTTTTTATTGTTCCAGCTACTTAAATTAATAAGATTACATAATGTTATTTCTGTTAATTAAACCAATACATGTATATCTAAAAGCAGTATGAAAATAAATTAGCTATGAATATTTAATCAGTGTTAACCCTGTCCACCAAAATGTGGCAGGGAACGAACGTTATTCCTTCCATAACGATATGGTGCTGCATGCAGACAGATTCTATATCATATTCATAACAGCTGTGTATACATGAATATAAAACTAATGATAATGATTACGAAAATATCAATAATAACTGGTTGTTGCAAAAAAGAATGAAATGGAATAATTCTGTTCAATGCAACAACATATGAATAAAAATAAAAATATTAAAATTAAAAACGATTAAAAATATCAGGCTATTACCTTATTCGAGGAATGTATCCATCAATGTAACATATGTTATATTTGGGATTACACTTTCTCAGTAAAGTACAGATTCTAGTACTTTTGTTGGGTTTAGTCCCATCCGGGATTCGAACCCACACCCTCAGAGTCAGCACCTAATTGCCAGTACACAAAGTCAGCTGCCTAACCCGCTCAGCCATCATGACTTCCACAAAAAATGGAAGTCAGACAACTGGTAGTCTAGACCACGGACTTAATGTACCCCTCTGATAAGTATAGATTGGCACAGTTCCAAACTAAATGCACAATGCCATTTAGAAAATGGTCACATGTAACATATGTTACTTTTGTTGGGTTGAGTCCCATCCGGGATTCGAGCCCACATCCTCAGAGTCAGGTGTGCTGGCGATTAGGTGCCTAAAAAAGTAATTTAGTTAGACAGAAATGAGCAATCAATCAAAGTATTGGCGGATATTCCTTTGAAGGAAGGATGCTGTTTTCACACATGCACTTTATGACAGAATGTGGGTGTATTCCGTGTGTTAGTAAATCTACATACATAAACACTATACTGAGCCACTTGACGTAGTTTCCATTGACTTACATGTTATTTCAGTGTAGCATAAATAATTTTCATGAAGTGAGTTTGGAATGGATCTTTGTAAAATATGACAGGCCAATGTCAAATCATCTCTGCTCTGTGCACTTATTTTCAGTTTAATTTTCAGACCACTATTTGACTATAATGACATCACATTTAGCAACTTGGTATGGCGGTCAATCACGTAGACCGCCATGTTAAAGGAGTTCACGGCACTGTACTGGCTAGCGAACAGTTATCGCCAATACATTAGCGTCACACATGCAGTTACAGTCAATTACAATTCCGGTATTTTTTCCCCACGGTATTTGGCAACAATAAAGGACAGCAAAAAAAAAATGTATTCATGGTAAGTAACATATAAGGGAAATATCAAAGATAAAGTTATGAACCCTATAAAAATATGTTTAACTTAGTTGGGAGATGTCCCATGACCTACCGTATATAATAGCAAGTTCAAGTTCACAAGTCATTACATTGCTTCATTCCCTATCAATCTACTGTAAAAGAAACACTCAAAGTCAAATAGTCACACAATCAATTATTCCAGGTTACTGTATAATAAAATATATGTATTATTTCACGAATGGCATGAGAAAATCGGAACGGCCATAACTGTTACAGTTAGTTGTGAGAAAACATCTATTATCACGGCCATGATGATGACTTTTATGGAGAAGCATGTACAATGTGAATGACCACCTCCCAAATTTATGTACAAAGTAAGTGCCCCTGCATGTGATCTCTCTCCCCTTTCTGGATCCGCCTATGCTCACTGCAATCATCACGCGATCACTGACTTTAACACAACAGCGACGGCTTGTCCCCAAGTACCAGATCTATTCTACCAACTCTCAAAAAGAAAACAACACCAACCTGATTTTGTCAAACAGTACTATAGAGCTGAAGAGTGATTGTTTCTAGAATCCCCAAACAGGAGGCAGTACACTACAGGACTACAGTCTCATGAGTAACTTTCCCGGTTATTGGTCATGTGATAGTCACATGTTATAATCATGTGCACTTCTCACAGATTCGAAAGGCAGGTTGTAAACACTAACATCCAGCAAAGTTTATCATCAAAGCCGGTACGAGTTATACGCCCTTGTTTCCTTGTTGGGGCCCACTACGGGTTCTTCAGAAAATGCATCAACTAAATTTGTGACGAAAATCTGAAGTACCACGAACGCGGTTATGAAAGGCCTTTAGGCGTTAATGGGACCAGGCTAAAGCCTTATGTGTGACTGATTATCATCTTGTCGCAGAATCGCTTAAAATATACAGACGATCTAAAGAAATTCACAAAATAATCGCACGCGTCCATGTTAACAAATATAATTATTTCAGATCTAAAGGAGCGTTCATTCCTGTTTCGCGCCAACAATCTAATCTAATCTTAGCTACCAGGGGGTCCCTCGACCGTGACGGACACGTGGACTGGGCAACTATCCACCCTGTAAGAGTTTCTTCAACCTAACCAATGAGTCAATAAGAACGGTGGGTGCCCATCAGATGACGTTGTTTGAAAATATCCCCGGTACTGCAGTAGGTCTAGTCTAGTTCTAGTCATGTTGTAATAAAGGTTCCCATTTTCGCATTTTCGGATGCGTGGATGGTATTATGACTGATCCAGTTAGACTTTATTTCTGTGGTATTTACCTCGACGTGTAATCATATGTCATGTAACGACACTATGTCTATTTACTTAGGATATTAAAAACACACATTTTTTAAATCCGTAATTGACGTACGCGTGACTGCCATTCCTAGAAAAATCTGAAAATTTGCTTAGGTAAATAGGTATATACAGTTTGAAACTTTAGTTCACAGCAAATGCTAATGTGTATTTCTTATGCAACAATGAAGTTTATATCCTCAAAACAGCGTCGATCCCATTGTATTAAATAAGGGAATACAAATTGCATGCAATGCAGCGATAACTATACTAATGCCTTGTTGTAACCCAGACAGACAGACAGACAGACTGTTTATTAACGTCTCACCTCAACATAAAATAGATTCATTAAAAAATTGCAATATTAAGCTCTGTAAAATGTACACAAAGATAAAATACTATTATATAAAACGATAAATGTTATGATAAATGAATATTTATAAACAATTACAATATAAAGCTGAATTAGGTATTATGTACCTACGCTTATGCATACACATAAGACTTACGCTTAGAAAGAATAAAATGGCAGATCTTGGCAGCAATGAAACATACATTAGGGCTGGATAAGATAAAATATAACTTTTGATTGTCATTTAAACCATTAGAATTATCACGATCATCATTACATTTGTTAATTAAAATAGACCATTCATTCATATACGCCGCCATATAGCTGGAATATTGCTGAGTGCGGCGTAAAACTAAACTCATTCACTCACTCATTCATATACAATGGACATTTCAGTAAAACATGGCACTCATCTTCCACCTTATCCTTACGATATATACAAACTCTCTCATTGTGCCATTAGTGCCGTCATACCGGCCAGTCTCAACCCGAACCGGGCCACATCACATCTAAAATTAGCTACAGCTCTTCTGTGTTACCCGGGGTGGGAAATTCTACATAGTGTGCAACATTAAAATTACAATACAATCTTAACTTATTCCCCCTATACCCGTAGGACTAAAAGGCTGTGACATTTCCTGTCTCCACTGAACAATAAACCTATCCATCATTACCCGTTTAACATCAGAAACAACAAACTGAAAATGATGATTAAAAGAAACTTTAGCAAAGTGAGATAAATCCAAATCGAAAGTTTTATTGTGAATTCTAACATTCCACTTTCTCTTACTATTAAAGGCATGGCTATTACCCCAGTTAAAAATCCTAGCCGTTGTCCTATCCTGTCCTATGTTACATTTAAACGCCTGTAAAATCTAACAACGCTACACCACTGTAAAATACAAGATGGCCCAACCCATATCCCTAATCACAGCATTAGTCGGTGCAAACTTACGTGATGATAAATAGAAGCTCACTGCTCTATTATGCACTGCAGTATGAAAGAAAACCTATAATCACCTCATATAGCAGCACCATACTCCATTGTGGAACATAGAATTATATAGAAACCATACAATAATATACAACTATGGTCTTAAGTGCACAGAAATCATGAATATTCACGAGTGGGCGGAGCTTATGTCACTACGTCACATACACGGCACAGTATATCTTCCGCGGAACTAATAGAGGGAGTTGACCAATGCTTCTTCGTCTGTTATTGCCTTATACAATGTGACAGCTTCAATATGCATATGAGGTATATGTAAACATGAAGTATACGTGCCGTTTATTCAATATAATGTGCTGTATTGAAGTTTTGCGACGCAACTTCCCACGGTGAAGGAGTTCAAGCGAGAAAGCCTCCTCGAGAACAACCACGGTACCTAGCGTTGCGATGGAAACATTGACATGTCAATATTGTCATTGCTCAGTCCTGACTTATCATAACTCTCCAACCAAACACAATAACATCTCTTGTCAACCAACTAAATACTTATACAATACATATGTACGTACATATTGCCAGATCTAATTAAACTATCTCCACGTATTTCAATAGCGTCAGCTCTAATAGGGCGTCTAATGAAGGAAGGAAAGGTTACCCAGGCAGGCCAAAGTAATGCTACTTTTCCATGGCTATCAGGGCACTACAAACTTTGAAAAAAATATTTGAGATTTATATCCCAGGGTAACCTAGCATATTTCTGGAATTTGGGTCGTGTATCTGAAGTATCTGAGGAATCCCTCCAAATGGTAAAATTACTAGTTTCTGGTGTGAAGGTGCAGATAAATATATCAAGGATAAAAAAAGAAACACCATGTCAACACCTCGGCCAGTTTAAATGTCTGGCCAAGTATATCCCTCCAAAGATACCATACTGCCAGGGTGTTTTGGTACTTTGGCAAGTCTTACTGAGTTTACTGATTGGCAGTTAAAATCACTTTCAATTATTTTCAACTTAACTTCCCTCTAAAGTAATTAATATAAAATCATGTTCATGGCATTTTCAACACCCCTTTGAACCTGATCCCTTTGACCATGTACAACCCCTCTAGACTGAAAATGTCATTCACTCTCTCTCCCATTTCAGCCAAGCTGGGCCACTTCCTCGGCGCGTCAAGGCGGACAGTCAGTGTGCACCACAGAGGTTCTGCCAGCTGCCCAGGAGAGCTTCATCCAGCCCCAAGCACCCCAGGGGACTGGTAGGAAATGAAATGCATGTTGTTTTTGCTGTGCCTTTTTTAAAGAGGTCCATTGTGCATTTAAGGCTTTTCTGTGCACTTAAGGTTTCCTATAGCAGTTCTTAAGTGCACAGAAAAACCTTAAATGCACAATGATGTCTGGGCCCCTCCCTGCACCCTCTTGGCTGTTTTTGGCTGGTGCAGAGGCCCCACCTGATCCCTTTGACCATGTACAACCCCCTCTAGACTGAAAATTTCATTCACTGTCTCTCCCATTTCAGCCAAGCTGGGCCACTTCCTCGGCGCATCAAGGCGGACAGTCAGTGTGCACCACAGAGGTTCTGCCAGCTGCCCAGCACAGCTTCATCCAGCCCCAAGCACCCCAGGGGACTGGTAGGAAATGAAATGCATGTTGTTTTTGCTGTGCCTTTTTATTTTAAAGCATCGTAGAGAGCCTTCAGTGCTGACTGAATCCAATGACAGCAGTGATTGGATGATTTTATGTTGTTAAAATGTGCGTTCATCCAGTAATTAAAACTAACCATATTTTTTCAATGTGTAGTTGCTTCTTTTTAACCCGATGGCTTCTGCAGAATGTGTGCAGAGATATTTTCAAGTAGGTTACATTTTAATGCGAAACTGGGGTCGGCGCTTTTCACCCTCCTGTATTCCCTCTAAGTTTTACCATGACCCGGAAGGAAAATAGGAGAATGTAGTGCCTTGTTTAAATGCACTGATTTGTCTGTGCTAATTTATTCAGGGTGACTTGTGACAGCTTAAATGAAAGATCAGACATTGTACTTTATTGCCATTTGTTTTTGTCCTCAATCTGCACATGCTGTTGACTCCAGCCTTTCATGATTTGACTCCAAGTTCAAGGCTGTTTAGTGTATTTCAGCTCGAAAATTCCGGTGACCGTTGTTGACAGTGGATACAGCAAAATTGAAATGCTCGATCCAGACCGATATTTTGCTGGGTAAGTGAGAAGAAGTAGGTTGGTCAGCATGCCACAGGACAGCCTAGGACAGATATTAATTATGGTGCTCTGGCCATGGCATGTCACTGTAGATAGTAAAGTGGTCTGAGGCTATATGTACTACATGTATTGGCTGTTAACAGCCTGGTTGTTTTTAATGTTGCTTTGGAAGTTAATGGGAAAACATTTGATTTTGTGCAACATGTAAAGGTGAGAGGACATTTTAGTAATTCATACATTACATGTATATATGCTTTCCTATTTATGTTTCACCATGGATACAAGTTGGCATTGTTATAGAGACTAATTTAAGGGAGTGAAGCTAGGGCGTCTTGAGTTGAATGGATTGTTTTAGTGGCCTTGATTTGAATGTAGCCTCGATTCGTGGTCTAACAGTGACAAGAGCCCACATGGTAATGGTTACCTGGCTTCTAAATTTGTTGAAACCGATGAATTGACAACAAATTAGGATAAAGTCACCACTGACACAATTTGGGTCTGTGTGTAAAGTCATATGATACGAGTATTGTGAGTATGAAATGTGTTCACTGCTGATGGCACAATATGTCACAAAACCCTCTTATTTTAGGTAAACAGTGTTGCATATGATCCATTCTTTCTGTTACACCCTTTTTACATATGAATAAACTTTTTTCTCTCATGACTTTCAAACAATTATTTAGTTTCTCAAAAACTGTCTCATGGCTGTTATGGTCTTTATGATTGAACATTTAATATGATCTTGACACTATTATCAGCTTGGAGAATGACTGATGGTGACTGGGGAGGTGTATCTTTGCACATACAGCAGAATCAGAAGCCTTCACATCCAATGTTGTGTTTCAACAAGTCGGTCTGATGTTGGCAGTGTGTGCACCCTCCTTTCACC